TGCTGTCATGCAGCTCAATAATTACCTTATACCATTTGGAGGAAACTCTATACCTCCCTTTTCCTTATTTCCTCCACTCTTATGCACAACTTTATTGTAAACGCTTTCAAAGTTTCTGCAGTTGATTTGCGCAGTTTCGGAATGACAACATTCAAATCACAAATATATTTTGTTAGAATTTCCATTTGTAATGGAGCTCAGGTGTCGGGGGAAAGCTTGGCTCGACATATACTTGCTCATTTGCTATTACTCCTGTACGATTAGCATGACCGCTTTCAAGCTTAATTCGCAGCTTTTGTATGTCCCATTTACTCACCTTTTTCACCTCAGGATCAGACAATAAAGCTATTTGTAATGACTTGTTTTTAAGCTGCTATGAAATAGTCAATAGCTATATTCGCATTATGTTGACACTTTTTCGCCTCAATTTTTTGTTGTTTGACTGTTTAATGTTCAACGAAAGCAATGGCGCGTAATATATTGATTTCAAACATTAAAAATTCAATCATTGCCAACGGCGAGTTTTGGCGCAGCCCACAGTATTAATTCTTTGGTGAAGTCACGACAGTGCATGATGGTCGCGCCAGTCACTTATTGTTGCGTAATTTCTTGATGCTTTCATGTCTTTTATCACGTACTCAAGTAGCACACCTTTATGTCCCCTGAGTCTCTAGGCGTGATTTATTGTAATCCTGCTATCAAACTGCTATGACTTTTTTCAGCAAATACGGGTAGAATCCATGGCTCATGGTGATAATGTAACGAATGGTAACATAGATAAGGGAGGACTGACATTCTTCGACCGTCTAGCTGAAGATGCTGCTGAAGAGAATCTAGCAAGCAGTAGTGGTATGTAATGCTAGCTTCGATTCTTACTCTTGTATCTGTATGTGTTTACTCACTCAGGTGTCCTCTCAAGCATATTTGGACGATTCTGGCGTAATCAAAGCACTGCGGACTGCGAGCCTTCTGGTTCTGCCACATTCTACCTGGGAGAAACAGCCTCACAGGAAAAAGAAGACGAAGCGGTTCCGGAATCGTTTTCTACTAACAATCCGTTGTCGTCAGGAGAAAATGACAGCAGTGTTTCTGTATGTGCTCTTTGGAAAGGACTTCCCTTGTCAGTTTTTCAAGTATTTTAAGGCTCCATCAAAGGCGTTAGCTAATGCTCAGGGCGATGCTGACCGAACTTCTCCAAGCGTAAATAGTTTCAGTGAGTTGATTTTACTTTTTTTACTTTATTTAATTTCTAAATGCAAATCCGGAAT